AGTCTGTCCAGCTTCCTCCCCCGCCATCGGATCCAGCTCACCACCAGGTGGTGATCAGTTGACAGCTCCGCCCTCTCTTCACTCGAGTGTCCAAGACATACGGCTGGAGGTCAGATGAAACAACCACAAAGTCGATCATCGACCTCCGGCCTAGGGTGTCCTGGTGCCATGTGCACTGATGGACACCCTTATGCTTGAACATGGTGTTCATTATGGACAAACTGTGACTAGCACAGAAGTCCAATAACAAAACACCACTCGGGTTCAGATCGGGGGGGCCGTTCCTCCCAATCACGCCCCTCCAGGTGTCACTGTCGCTGCCCACGTGGGCGTTGAAGTCCCCCAGTAGAACAACAGAGTCCCCAGTCGGGGCCTTTTCCAGCACCACTCCCAGGGACTCTAAGAAGGCCGGGTACTCTACACTGCCATTCGGCCCGTAGGCACAAACGGCACTGAGAGACCTATCCCCGACCCGAAGGCACAGGGAAGCTACCCTCTCATTCACCGGGGTAAACTCCAACACATGGCGGCTAAGCTGGGGAGCTATGAGCAAGCCCACACCAGCCCGCCGCCTCTCACCGCGGACAACTCTAGAGTCCAGCCTCTCTAGAGGAGTAAAGTTCCAGAGCCCAAGCTGTGCGTGGAGGTGAGCCCAACTATATCTAGCCGGTACCTCTCAACCTCCTGCACAAGCTTGGGCTCCTTCCCCACCAGTGAGGTGACATTCCATGTCCCCAGGGCTAGTCTCCGTGTCCAGAGATTGGGTCGTAGGGACCCCTGCCTTCGACTGCTGCCCAATCCACTGTGCACCGGCCCGTCTGTTTAAGCAATCTGTCTTATATCCTGTTTCCTGTTTGCTGTGGTGGTGGAGTGCTTTTCTTCATTCTTACCTAACTTTTGTTTACGACTAATCCGCCTGTAAGCTTCTGCGGACCTTTTCAATGCTCATAGCCTAGGTGGTGTTGTTGGCCTCTGGGACCAGCTCAGTTTGAGAGTCTGTCAGTAGAAGAAGTGCAGATTATATAGATCTGTGTTTAGGGTACAGTAGTTGTCTGTGAGGAGCAGCTACTAACATGCCGCCTGGGACAAAGAAAAGTCTACGGCTTCGTTAATGCCACCTGGTCCAGTAGCAGCTACCAGCAAGAGAGATCTGGATACTACTGTTCCTTACTGTGCCATTGCAGAAACACAAAGCGAGGATCCAAGGTTCAGAGAAGGTACTAGGCCAAAAATCCATGTTAGCTCCACTCCCCAGCAGTCAGGGGCCTGGAGGATTGTTGGTAGGCATGGCTAGGGCTGCAGTGAAAAGTTTCTGCTACTGTCAACTTCAGCTCGGGGCATTGAACTAATACTAGGTTTGACATTCCCTCCTTTAGCTGCCGTAGTGTTGGAGGCCGATTGTGGTCAGTGTCACCCCGGGACTGGCGCTAGACAACTAAGTAGAGAAGTACCGGTCAGTCAACAACACCAGGGTCATCTGTGTTTTACTGTCTCGCCTTGTGTTTCCTAAACATCTTTATCTAGTTACCTAGTTTGAATCCTCAAGTGGATAGAGAGGAGTTCATTAAATTGCAACAGGATTTTCAGCCCCAAAATCTACGTGGGCCTTCTCCTGTGGATGCTGTAGGCATGGATAAAATGTCTACCATCTTCTGCTCCTACAATGCTGGTTCTTGGCTCATCGTTGATGAGAAATCTTAAACTAAGTAAAGCTGAAGTGTTCTGTTTTCCAGGTGTACATGTGAGAGACATTGAGGACAAGCACGTGCTGGTTTTAATGACATTAAACTATAACAATCTGAGAGACTTAAAGAGGATTTCATCAGCCTTATTGGATCTGTTTTAGATACTGGCACATGGTGCATTCTCTCTGGACCTATTCCATCCCCACAACTCTCTGATATTCGGTTTAGCCGTGTTTGGCAACTTTATATCTGGCTGAAAAACTATTGTATGTCTCATAGCATACCCTTTGTGGACAATTTTGCAGCATTTAAGAATTGACCAGGATTTTTAAAAAATGATGGAATACATCTAAATCTGCACGACACCTGGCTTCTGTTGTGTAACATGGAACTCATGCTCCAATCTGCAAAACTGTTTCACAGTTGATGTTTGGCAAGTCCGAACCTTTGTTATGATGAACTTGTTTTTAAAATTGCTGTCTGATTATAGATGTTTGAGTCATCAACCTGAATGTAGGTGTGCATTAGATAATGTGATCAAGGTTCAGACTGGTAACTATGATCCTCCTCTGAAATGCTCTGATAGAAAGGACTGAATCAGGTGAGTGGTTCCAATGTTGTTAGATCAGAGCATTGATTTGAATATTCATAGTTTTTCTCATCATGGCCCTTGGTGTTATACATATGAATGTACACAGCCTACGATCAAAGATAAACTATGTTATGTGCTTTCAGAGACTTGGTTAATTGATAAGATAGATGATGATTCCATTGCATTTGAAAGATTCAGTGTATTTTGCTGTGACGGGTCTAATGGAACGGCAATTTTTGTGAACATTTTTTTCCTGTTACTCTTGTTAAATCTAGAGCAAAATCTTTTGTTTTAGTGAGTGTCACAGGAAGCAGCTGGTACAAGCAACAATTTTATTTGTAATAGAGTATGGCGATATAATTTATATGCATTCTTTTGCCAAAACCTTGAAACCACTTGACTCAGTATATCATACCGCTATTAGATTCATTACTGGAGATCCCTTTAGGATTCACCATTGTAAATTAGATTATAAAGTAGCTTGGCCACCTTTGACACTGAGAAGAGAGCATCAATGTATGTTATTGTATATAAAAAGCTACTTAATAAGTTCCCTGAATATATTACACACCTCCTGAGTTATAAATCGTCAACGTACCAGACCCATTTACAAGATTGTCTTGTTCTGCAAGGTGATGATGATTATTATTATTGTTTTGCACACTGTTTACAAGAATTTTAGAATTTGTTTGCCTGTAATCAAGGGAGACATGGAAATATAGGGTTATCCACCAATATATGCTTTTAAATTAAGATTTATGTTTATCTGCACACTGCCCTACCCCTCCCACTCTTTCAGTCAAAACTGGCAAGAATAAAGTGAGACAATGATTATATAAAATACCAGGCTGGAAACCTACCAGCAGACCTCCACAGTAAAGCAGGCTTCACACTTTACTATCTGTTTAGTGGACCGTTGCTGTTTATGTCAGTTCAAGTCAGA